ACTAATATGATAATTGAACAATAGTAAATAACAAGGAGTAACAAAAGTCTTAAAACAGGCAACTACGAGAAAAATGCTACTACTACTGTCTACTGGTATAAACAAGGAAAAAGGTACAATACACCAAACTACCACCAATCCTATCGCGCTAGGAAATGAGACAACGTTCAACTGCCTACTAACCTTAGACAAAGTTCAACTACCTACATTGCGCTAGGAAATGAGACAACGTTCAACTACCTGCTAACCTTAGACAAAGTTCAACTACCTACATTGCGCTAGGAAATGAGACAACGTTCAACTACCTACTAACCTTAGACAAAGTTCAACTACCTACTAACCTTAGACAAAGTTCAACTACATACTAACCCATCATAACCACTTATCTACCGCCATGTCCTCGAAAAGAAGAATCTGCACCAAATATAGTTTTTACACTACAAACATATCACATCCCTTCAAAGTAACAACAGGAAGAATCAGAGTACTAACCATCTTGAGTCATAAGGGGATAATCAGAGGCACTAAGATTAATAAACCAATCCCAACTCTTAGGCAGCTTCAACAAAATAGCAATGGAATGCAACATAGAAGCCAACATAGTAGGACCTTTATAAGTAACCAGATCTGATCTTCCCACAACCTTAACATTCCCAAAATCCCTAAACACAAATTCCGACTTAACATACTTAGCCAACTCCAATCTCTCACTATCCAAACTCTCCAAATCAAGATGCAACAGATAATAATTCCTCGGATGATACACTGCCTGAAGCAGCCTTTTCATCTTTACTCCATCGTTTTTAGTACCCGAAATCAAGTAAGCTAATCGAGGCAACTCAGGCAAGATTTCATCATAAAGAAGTGATTTTGAATGTGGGGTTGATGATTTAGGCTTAAATGAGGAAGTGGGGTTGGTTAAAATTAGTGTAAGAACGAGTATAACAACAAAGATTGTGAATACAACAATGGGTGTTGACCATTTCTTATGGTGAATGAATCTAATGTGAGCTCTTTTCATTGATTCTTGGTGAAAAAAAAAAGATAATTTTTGGGTTCTTGATTTAGTTTTACTGTTTGGGATTTGTGTTTAGCTTAGATTTGAAGAATTTGAAGGGGGAAAATGCAGGTTAAAGATGGAGGTTGGATAGTGACTGGGATTTTGCTCAAAGAGGAAGAAATGACATGTTGACTGTCACCAATATCTTCCAGGTTTTTATTAGTAATAAAGGAAAAAATCTTTGTTCGGATTTACTTGTTAAATTTTAACTTGACATAAAATAATAAGAAATTTTTTACATATAGTTATTTAAAAATAGTTTAATTACTCTTCATAACTATAGTTAGATAATTATAATTTGTAGCTAGATATTATATGGAGGAGAGAGGCGAGCAAGACAAAGAAAGAGGAGAAAAAGAGTGGGAGAAATATGAATCGTATATGTATATCGGTTAGATAATTATATAAATATATAGATATATATATATTTGTACATATAGCAAGCAAGAGCGGGAGAGGGAGGAGAGAGGCGAGCGATATTGGGAGAGGGAGGAGAGAGGCGAGCGATATTGGGAGAGGGAGGAGAGAGGCGAGCGATATTAGGAGAGGCGAGCGAGAGAGGACAGAGAGTGGGAGAGAGGTGAATTGGATATGTATATAGATTAAATAATTGTATATTATACATATGTATTTATATATTCTGACGAATTATATATATACAAAAGTGACTAATTATACAAATTTGAAGTCAATCCACGTAATTAATGTATAATTTTAATCGCGAGTGGTAATTATAGCAAATTATATCTATGATGAGTAATTAAATAGTATAAAATTTGTTTTGTTGCGTAATTATCGCGAATAATAATTGATATACTCTAGTAAATTTATTATTTTATATTTTGTCTATTTAATAATGCTTGTCAACTATTAACTGTTCGTAAACTAACTTATTAAGAAAACGGATGGTGGAAAACAAATTCTCACTAAAGCTTTCTAATTTCCTCTTCGTTTCTATTTACTTATAAAATATTTTCTAATTTAATGTCCTATTTTACTTGTTATTTTTATAAATCAAGAAAAGACAATATATTTTTTTCTATTATACTTTATTAACATTGAGTTAACGTCAATAAAAAATATAGTGAGTAAATATATTTGTGATCCTATTAATAATATGTAAAATGATATTGTTGAAACAGTACACATAATTTAAGGACACATGAGTCGATGATTAGATTATACTTCCTTCGATTCATATTAATTAATTATTATAGTAAAAAAATAGTTCTCATATTTTTTCTCCGTCTTAATAAAACAAGAAAACATTAATTAAAATTTTCATCTATAACCTTTGTAATTAATTATTTTTAATAAAATTTGTTTGTACAATTTTCAAAATATTTTAAATTGATGAATTAGTAAAATTATTTTTTACTTATATAATATTTTAAAAAATATATAAAATAAAAAATAATCAATTAATATGAGACAAATAAAGCAACACATAAGCTTGTGAAAAACAAGCGGTAAATTAAATAATTAAACGATATGAATTAAAATATAGAATTGTGTATTTATGAACTTTGATAGTTTAGCAGCTTAGAGACCATACCAAACTCAAATGACTTTTCTAAATCAACTTCACACCTAACTTTTTATTTTTATCTCGACGAACATGGTATGATATATATTGAATTATTATATTATATTATAGATTTTAATATTATAATTATGATATATGATATTTGTTATGGTATATAATATATAGTTAATTTTTAATATTTAGTAAGATATTTTATATTTAAAAATAAAATATTGAAATATTAAATATTATATCGAAATATATAATTACATGAATAATACACACATATATGCAATCTAGGATTAGTATTAACTAAATGTTTAAAAGTTTAAATGTGAATACTCTATTTTAATTGAAATGTAACTGATGAACAAAATGACTTGTTTTTACTTTATTTTGAATATATATGTGTAATATATTAGTATGATACAATTGAAACATTTTTTTTAATAGTTGAAGTCATAACTATTATACAAATATATATTAGTAGAAGTTGAACTAACTATGATTAACGATATACCGTACCATGGAATACCAAAACCAAACTTCAATATACTGAATTGAATTGATATGATAATGATATAATAAATTAAAACTTGAATTTCGTAATTTCAATATCAAAACTTTCAAATATCATACGGTACCGTACTGTATCGTACCATACCATATCACGTGCATTCCTACTTTTACTTTTACCACATATATGAGTTATTCATTCGTTCAAATATCATATCGTATTGTATCATATCATATCATGTCCGCCTCTACTATATTTTTACTAGGGAAGTGTCATTTTTTGTGATTTTTTAAAATACTTGTTTTCCTATAAAAAAATTTGTCAAAATAATTCAAACGTGAAAAATATTACTTTTGAAATGTTTCTTGTTTGCTCCGTCCCTTCAATAATAAATTGTGTTGTTTAGTTTTTTTTTAATTATTATTTTGATTCAATAAAGATAATTTTATATAATAAAAAATGATTAAAGAGCTTTCTTTTTTTTTAAAAATATTGATTAAGAATAACTTAGTAGAATTTTACTTACTCTTTAGGAGTTTAATAATTTTCTTACGAAATATATTCAGACTAAAAATATCACTTATTATAAAACGAACGGAATAATAATTTGGAGTTCGTTGGACTATGGAAAGAAGCAAACTTCAAAATGATTTTGGATTTGGCACATTGTCACTTCACCGTGATGGACCTCACCTCTTTTTTAAAAAATTATTTTTTATTTTTCGGAAAAAAAAATTAAAATATATTCGAATTTTAATTAAAATTATCGTAATAATATTAAATTTTAGAAAAAACATTTTATTTTTGCATTATTCAATAACGTATTCTTGAACAATATAAATATAAATAGTAACGTGTTCACATGAGCACATATATACCTTTAAATATACTATTAAATTGTGCAGAAAGTAAAAGATCCTCCATTAAATTTGATATCGTAACGTCAATTTCGATCAAACTAGAAATATTTTTTACACCCTTTTCCTTTATTTCTCTATGATTTATTTGGACTAATTGAATACCCCACTTTATTCATTTGAGAATTACACAAGTACTAATTTATTTCGATTTCACTATTTTTTTACTTTTTTTACTATACACGGATTATTAGACCAATAGCTAAATAATCGATTTGTTAAGTCGATAAACTTTGATCATTTGACGCATTAACTCAAATTGCAACAAAGTATGTTACTAGTAATTACTTATCCTTCTTTAATTAGTATTTAAAATTTATTTATCTTATTAATTAAAATTTGTATAGTGTAATATCGATAAATTGAAATTAAACTAGTGTGAAGCTTATTACATGTGAAATTTTTTGTTTAAAGTGATTAGTTCACTTTCTCCATAAAAGTAGGAATATATATTATTTGGTTGAACAATTTAAATTTCTAGGAATATATATTTATTTTCTTTAATAAGAAGTCTAAGTTCTAAAAATTCATATAAAATCATTAAAGAGTGCTTCCTTTTAATGCTATGAAAATCAATTATTTCACTTATTAAGTTAATTGAATTCAAATATAAAATATAAATTTTAAAAAGATATAATATATAAATATGTCTTTTAACTGATATTTATGTTCTTCAATTTAAGTGTGCACTAATGGTCATTTAAATAATTATAACATTAGACAAATAAATAAACACGTTAAATATGATAAATTGTGTGAAATACACTTGCACTACGTGACAAATCGTATAAAATTCATCTCGTAAAATACACGTATCTACTTACTTTATGATAATTAACGTGTTTACTTATAAATATCCAATATTAAGTCATTAAGTTAAGAATAAATACGTAAATAATCTAATTCTTCATGTAAATATATACATAATAATTATCAAAAGTAATAAATTCAGATTAAATCATTAAATTAAGAATAAATACATAAATAATCTAATTCTTCACATAAATATATACATAATAATTGTCAAAAGTAATAAATTCAGTTGAACTCGAACAAAATGTAAAAATTGCATTACAACAATCAAACTAACGCAGCAGCATCCGGCAAACCTTGCCGGAAATCGTCGTCGAAGTTCACCGCCGGCCGTTTAGGCCGTTTAACGGTAACGGCAGCACGGCAAACCGGACAACTTGATTTAGAACAAAGCCATTTATCAATACAAGAAAAATGAAAAATATGTTTACACGTCATCAATTGTCTAACTTCTTCTCCGTCAATAAACGCCGTCAAACACACCGGACACTCATTGCCGGGATCTTCCTCCTTCTCCGGCGATGTTCTTTTTTCATACTTCACAGTCGATAACATATCCGTATGTTGTGTAATAATTCCGGTGGTCGACTCACCGGAAGTTTCGCCGGAGCTTCGCCGGAAAACATTATCCGGGTGTTTCATAGCGTAGATGAAAGCGAATACGATAGTCGGTATGATTATAAGTATGATCAGTGAGACAATTGCAAATAAAGGGGACATGTCGGAGCTCCGTTGAAGACGCCGGCGCCGGTGAAGGGAGAGGTTTTTGAAATTTTTAGTGGTAGAGGAATTGGGCATGATATTAATTGATTATGTATTATTATTAAGTATAGTGGCCATTTTTTTTAAAAAAAATAAATTATTTTGTATGGTTTTGGGAATTCAAGACAAGTGTACAATGCATTATGAGAATATTATATTCTAAAAATAATTTTATTTTTTTGGAATTATTGAGATATTAATGAGGATTATTAAAAGGGTGAAAATAAACGACAAAATAGTGTAAACATCATACATGAGATGAGATAAACATTTTCTTATATATATATTCGTTTCAATATATTTATCTCATTTTAACTTGACATGAAGATTAAGAATAAATAAAAATAAATTCAATTTCATGGTTTTAAATTAATAATATATAAAATGCAATAAAATATAATTTAATTATGTAATTTTTAAAAATGTCAAGAATCAGAAATTTAAAGACCTGAGTGCATCAATCTAAACTTAAAACAAAAATAATAAAATATGACTTTAGCTGGATTTGAACGTTGGTTTCAGGGTAGTACCTTCGGCTAATATACTAGCGAGTAGTAACACAAGGCTCTACTACTTTATGACTCATGATTGCACTATTAATTATATTTCAGTTTCTGCTAATTTTTCAGGTATATATACATGTATACGTGTAGAAAAAGATTTACGATTTTAACGAATGCATGTACACCCTTAACTTTTCATGTGGGTCAGCTTCTGCCTAGAAAATTAAAACTAAAGAGTGATTAAAAAAAAAGTAAATATTGTTTTTAAAACATACCAAAAAAGAAATAGAACAAACAATAATTTACCAAATTACAATTCGTTCCGAAAATCCATGGAAAGAAATCTCTTAAAAGGTGATGGGCTTGGAGTTTGTGGACCATATAAATGGTCATTTGGATCATTTCTATTAGGCCCATATATAGGAAATACAAAGATGTATACAAACAAAAACGAACGTAAACATTTGTATATACATATGCTCATTCTGAATCCACAGACTCTAAATTATGAATTTGCCTATGAGACTCCGACAACAAACCTATTAAACGTTGATGCGGAGGAGCCAATAACGTAGTCTCCGCACGACAAAGCGGGCAATTTCGATGAGAATGTAACCACACATTTATACATGGTACATGAAAAATATGCATACATTGAGACATTACCCTAACTTCATCACCTTCCAAAAATTCACCTAAACATATAGAACACATCTTCTTTTGTATCTTTGTTGTACCTCGATAAAACAATCAATTGCACCATTGAATTACTCGTGCTCGTGCTACTAGACGTCTCTTGACTTTGACTTATTGGGATAGTCGTGTTTTGCTCTGGAGGATCAGATGAATTGTTTTTACATCATGATATTATTATAAAATGTATAATAACGACGATTATAGCGCCAACTATGATACCAAGAAGGCCAACTATAACAGGGTTGATTTCGAGTTCTCTATAATGATGTTGTTCTTCTTCCATTGTTGAAGAATGATTTGATCAATAAGGTTTTGATTTTATTATGACAAACATAGTTGGAATGTTTAATTTGTAAGTCAAGTAAGGCTTGAGTATTTGTACTTATTATATATTTGTCTACATATATACAAGTTCTTACTTGGAATTTTAATTTGTTAGTATATATTATGTATAGCGTTAGAGGCACGTTTTAGTTACCATAAAATAGTATATAATATAAACTCCAAATGACTATTATTTTGGAACAAAATGATGATTTGAATTTGCATTACTTGGTAGAATTGTCTTTTTTTTTTTAATTCGATATCTGATTTGGAAATTGACTAATTGATATATGCATGGAGATTTGAGAAGTTCTAATTTGAAAGTAAATCGCTATTTACTGAAACGACTTACTTTAGCGTTGTTCTAATTTGAAGGAAAATTGTGAGGCATACGTTGAGAATTAGATACTATACAATTTATATCGAACAAGATAAAAGTTTCTCTAAATTTATGACTTGCGAAATTAAGTCATAGTTAGAGCACTTTAGGGTACAATTTTTTGGTAGGTAGATATATATAATTGCAATTTTCATAGCAAACAAAACTATAATTATGAAGCGTAATTATCGAAACTATAGCTACCAAACCTTACTATATCTATTATTTTTGTTATTTCTCAAATTTTTTACAAGTCCGATCTTGACTCTCTTCATAGCCCATATAGTTGAATATTGGGCTTTGGATTTTGGATCCAAAACATAACTTGGACAAGGTTTAAGGAATTTGCATAGAAATTTATGTTTTTTTACGAGTTATTATTTAAGCATCATTCTTATACACTCTATCAGACTTTAAGTAAGTATCTATTTTTACATTGTTCGCAAGTTAATTATATTAGAAAAAGTAATTTGTTATTCAATTGTGCACAAGTTATATTGAATTAATATAGTCTAGTATAGTCTTCATTTTACATATTAAATATTTTTAAAATAAAAAATAAAGGAACCCCCACCCCCCCACCCCAACAAAAAAAAAGTAGTAATGATTCATGTTTCCACAAATTCATTTTGCTTGCATTCCAAACAACATTTATTTGACCTTAATATATATATTATTACTTCTTTTTCTTTAAATAAAGATAAGAAAGTGAACTCATTATTAGATGAATATTTGGACCAAAAGCTTAAGTGGAAAATAATTGTATTTAAAAGATGAACATTTTGATATATAAGTAGTGACGAGTATTAAGTATTATTATCAATAATAGATAAGAAATGTGACATTTTGACATTTCTCTCCACTTGTTCCTTATTTATTTTTAATTAAAAGTGATATTTACTCTATTTCCTTTTACTTATCTAGTTTAGATTTCCACTTATAAACGATATTAATTAATATATTATTTTACTAAAAAAAGTTAGTAACACTTTGAAACTCAAATTTGATTAAATAATCATCTAATTAAAAAGGGAGCATTTGTTAAAGTGAATATGTAATAATTTCTATTGGTTGCTGATCAGAGTTATTCATATAGAGATCAGTTATGTAGAGATGAGATTTATAAAATTTGATTATTCGTTGTACTTATTATTTTATTTTTTATATTGGATAAAATAATGTATTAATTAATTCATAACTTATACATATTTTATTTACGAAAGATTGTAAAATGATAATCAAACATAAACATAGTACACTTTCCCTTAATTATTGTAATTAAAAGCACAAGGACAATCAGTCATTTCACTTATCTTAATTTTGTACCATTTTTAATCATTGATTATAATATAATGTTATTTAATCATTAAAATAAATTATCGTTTAGCTCCCTAGAAGGTGATAGTCCTAATAAGGATGCACATCTTATAACATTTATTTTCTATTAAAAAAAAATGTTTTTCTAATATGTTTCATTTTTAAGAGTCAGAAATAAAAAAAACAAAAAAAAACTCAGTGCTTTCTCACGTTTTAGATTTTATCTTTTAAAATAATATTTCTTCATGTAGGGTAGGTAAAAAAAAATCTCACAAGAAGAATTGTCCAAATTCAAATAAAAAAATAATTTTTTTTATTTGATGTGATACTCTTTGATACTGTATTTCACATTTAAAATTGGATATCTAATTCATGAGTAATTTAGTCTGAAGGTTCATTATCGATAAATATTAATTGAAATAAATATTGGTCTGGAATTATATAAAGAAATGAATCTTGAATTTAACTTAATTCTAAAAAATAATTTATATAAAGGCAAATATATGAAACACGTGAACTTATAACTTGCTATAAAACTAAATATTTTATATACATATTTTTTAAAACCGATCTAACGTAATTTGTTGATATTCACACTATAAAAAATAAAATAAAAAACTTAATGATCCACTTGATTAAAGGCTCAATTATTAAGTAAGAGGAGCAATTTTCAATTCTCATTATTGATCAATAAATCTCCATTTATAATTATAGGAAAAATGGTCTGAAATATTTGAATTTTAATCGATATTGTTATAACGATATTAAATTTTAAAAATAATTTTTTATTCTTTACACTATTTAATTATATATTTTAAAGGTATATATGTGGCCACGTATATATCATAAATATTGCATAATCATAAATAGTAATGTGTTTATGTGAACAGATATATACCTTTAATATACACTATTAAATAGTGCAGGGGACAAACGATTCTCCATAAAATTTAATCGTAACAATAATTTTAATCGAAATAAAAGCATTTTTCAAATCGTTTTTCTCTTATAACTATTGTGTACAAAATTATTTTTTTTTTGCTCCCAAGACAAGATTTGATCGATTCTCGATCCTATGCATTTCTTTTTCAATTTAAAAATGTGTGTGTTCATTATATCATTATTGAATATGTTATTGTTACTTTAATTAGCAAATTCATAATTTGTAATGTAAATAATAAAAATTTACTCACAATTAATATTCATATCTAATCAAATAAATTAATTTCAACAATTTATATATATATATATATATATATATATACTTAAACTAAATGCATCCATGATTTTGTTACATGAATGAAATATACACTCCTAAATTCAAGTTTAGGAATGTTTTTAATACTTCTCCTGACATTTTATTAAGAGTTTCACGCTCTTACAAGAGTTTGAAATTACTTGTTATGTCATTTAGATATTCGGAGACGTATTTAAGTACAACTAGTCTAGTAGAGGAGTATTTTCAAAATTGTCAATAGTGTGAGGATAAAATAATTCGCGCCAAATTTTGATGTGACTATGGCCGCTATCGGACAGACGAAATAGATAATTTCGCTTAACAGTTAGACTTATCGAATATCAATTTTTAGATTTACTAATCCACTTGTCAACCTATAAAACACCGGTTAATTCTATAAGGATTAACAATTGTTGAGTGGGTATAAGCACTTCGCCAATGACTCAATAAATTGCAGCATATTTTTCATGTACATATCCTCAGTGAATTTCTGATTTTAATGGCTTTACAACTTAACCTATAAGAGTTAGGAAAAAACATATAATTACTCTTATACATTATGGTAAAATATTAAATAACGCTACTATATCTAAAATAAAAATGTAAGTATAGTAACTCCTAATAGTTTAACGGTTTATCGGATGAGGAAACTGAATAATTCACCCTATCCAAATAAGTCG